TGAAGTGTCTTGCCCAAGGACACAACGACCAAGACAGAGCTGAGACTGAAGAAGTCATTTCAGGGTAAGATTTTGTGTGGTGCGCAGACAAGAAATAATGAAGCGTCAACAGCTGATGTCATACTGTGACACAAAAAGACACAAAGGGACAAAGGAAACATCGCTCCATTTTTTAACTGCTTTGTGAGCTTCATGACGTGTCAGCAGAGTGAGCGGCAGATGGTTCTGACCTGAGGTGGTAGTGAAGTGAGCAGGAGGGAAGGTGCCACAAGGGAAATCAATATTTTCCAGTGGAGGGATACCTACCTTCGCACGACACTGGGCTTAAATGCAGCCACACTGATTACTGCTGATGAGCAGCAGGTGGGTGAGAGTGGACCGGGCTCTGGCCTGGGACAGATCTGGAAAAACACAGCCGCTCACTCGGACCTTGACAGGCTGAACTTCATCTGGAAATTTACTAGCCGGGCCCACGTCCTCACTTTAGATTTGACAGCGTTTTAGTAGGTAAAGCTGATGCTTGGACATGAATTGAGCTGCGGTTTGGGGAAGTCCTCGAAGGGGACTGGCGACGGCTCCCAGGCCTGTCAGATCCCTGTGCACTAAATAGAAAGGAAGAAGTTAAAGAATTGAAAACAAGGAGGGGGGGGTGGCACGTAAAGGAGAATGAACAGCTTGCAGAACTGGGGGAACCTATATAGATGAGAACCGGAAGCAGCGTGTTTGGAGGCGAGTTCCTGCTCATGAAATTCCGAAACATAATCTCCAACAGGAATAAGAATAAAAAAGGTTTCTTCTAGCTGAAAGATGAAAGCTGGAGAATGATGCTGTTTGTTCTTTAGGTTTTTGACCAGTTTAAAATAAGATGAAAACATGAGGAATGTTCCATCTATGGCGATAAACATTACAGTTCATATCTGCATTATTTGTGTTTTAGTTCCTGACTGAGACCGCTGGAGTAAAGTGAAGACTCATCACAATCTAGTCAAACAGAGCAGTTTCTGTTCTACACACCTCTACTTATCACATTACATCATACGATGCTATGATGCTTGAAGAAACAACAAAACAAATAAATACAATTTTTCATCACACTTTATTAAATCAGATGACAGATATACTCAGATGAAGACGTTTACAGCAGCAATCATTTCATATATCACCTGAAGTACTGTCATTAATTACCAAAACAATAGAAAAGCTTGTATTTCTTTTCTGCACACAGTTCATATCTAAATAATAAGATCACATTTGTTCCTGTGCTGATGTGATGGAAAGTTTGAGTGTGTGAAGCTGGTAGAAGTTGCTCTGTTGTTTCTGCTCTGATCAGCTACAGGATACTGGTTCAAATGTGCAGCTGAATCTTGATTGGGATTGAGAGTGGATTTAATGAATTTCATTAAGTGTTGCTAAGTTTCTTTGACCTTTTCTTTTACAGACCCAGAGTCTTTTCAAACACAAACTGAGCATCATCAGTAAGCTGCTTGAGGATAAAATTCAGAACTCTGTAAGTTAAAGTCAAAGAAAGGCCTGTTGCTGCTGGGATTTCAATTATTGGAATCCACCTGGATACTTTCTTTACAGCCATTAATGGGTCTGTGTGTCCAAGTTGGGTCAGAACATTGTGGAGGAGCTCTTTAGTTATTTCTGCTGCAGCCAGTGGTGAAACGATGACGGCTCGTATATCAGTGTAGGGCACACGTGTTCTGGCTGATCATGTCTGGTTCGATGTTGGACAGCAGAGTGTCCCTCTTGTATTTAGGAAGGTCTCTGTCTAAGGTCTCATGTAAGAGACTGAAGTCGTACAGGTGGAGCTGAAAGCTGGACACCAGGAAGACCTGTGGAGACTCAAAGCCTGATCCTCTGAGTCCTGCGTGATAGAGAAACATGTCGACATATATATATATATATATATAAAAATAAAAAATCAATTAAAATTTGAAAGTGAACATGTTGTCCATACAAGTGAACAAGTCAATCTACAAAGTGATCAAACTCAGCTGTAAGTGATCAGACACTCACCCTGAACGCACTTGTCTCTGATTACTTTGAGAGTCCTCTCTTTATTGAAGTATCTCGTTCTTCTCTCAGCTTGTATATCGTTGTCAATCTTTGAGCGAACAAAGTAGAACTTTTTCTCCATCTTCTGAATCTCCTTTGCGAGTTTCACATCATTTTCCGTGAAGCGAGTGTCTGAGATGATGATGAAGAAGTCAAACTTCTCAAATTCAACAAGCTTCAGGTATTTATCAGCTGGAAAGCTGGTGGTGCCGATTCCAGGAAGATCCCATAACATAACATTGGGATAGTTTGGATGGGGGTACGCTGTGACCTCTGGGGTGATTTCTGCAACACCAGTAGAAGCAGCTCCCTCCTCATCATCACACAGTCCTCTGAGGGCGTTAACAAAGGTTGATTTACCAGCCCCAGACTCTCCTGTGATGGCGATATTTAGTGGAATATTATTTTGTTGTTTTAAATTTTCTTGAATCCTTGCAGCTGCTGCAGCAGTGTCGTTGTTCTGCAGGGCTTCTTTAACTCCAGGAATGTCTTCTGATTCAGTGAATCTTTTGAATTCCCCATGCTGCTCCTAAACAAAAATAACAAGGGAACATTTCATTTTTATTGGATTACAGAAGATGGCTCTATCTACTTCAATCTAACATTATAGTTTTTCAGATTAACAAAATTACATTATGGTAGTCTTTCAATCTTTGAAAACTGGAAACTGAAGCATAACAAATTAAACTAAACTCATAAATTGTTTGAGTAATTACACTGAATTTGCGCAGAGCCATCACAGAGGGTCCAGGGTATAATTGACCACTTTGATTTTACCTCTATGTGTCACCTTTAAAATCTGTTTACCTCACTTTGTTTGGTATCATTCTTTTCTTTTTTTTTTACATTTAACGTACTGTATTGATGTCACACAGTGGAAATTTGTATTTATCTTATATTGTTTTTAGTCTGATTTTTAGTGTTTGTTTATGAGAGTAGTTTTATTTGCATGGTTTTATTCTGTTTCTATTGCATGGTATTTAGTGTTTTATGTGACATACAGTGGGGCAAAAAAGTATTTAGTCAGCCACCGATTGTGCAAGTTCCCCCACTTAAAATGATGACAGAGGTCAGTAATTTGCACC